TGAGAATCCAGGGGTCGATGCAGTTCTTGTGGAAAAAGTGTTTACAAGTGAGAATACGAACTGTGTCATTAGGCTTGTAGGGCTCAAAGCAGATGACACAGCTGTCCGCATTTGGACTCACTTCCTCGTCACCCTCTTTTAACACCCGGACTTGCAGCTGACCAAAAGCTTTCTTGAGCTCTCTTGTTAGTCGCTTCCATCTCCTGTTCTCAATCCTTGCAACCCAAAGTCTCCGAATATGATAAAAGGTGAAATATGCTAAAGTAGCGGTTGTGACGATCATAAAGGAGACAAAATAGTGATTCAGCCAGATGACATGTTTTCTCCCCACCTCGACCATGACTGTAACAAGAACTCCCTTCCGAATTAAATGCAAAATTTCCATGCCTTTTAAGTTACCAATCATAACTACAACAGTTTCATCGAATGTCTGGTGAGACATGGGGAACACCTGGTTGCCGGTACCTGGAAAGTTATAGATTATTACTCCTCTGGCTCCGTTTTCAGACGCCACTTTAATTTTCTGTGTGAAAGTGCAACCCCCTCGTTCAATGAGTGCAATCCATGGCTCCTTGTTCTGAGGCCGGATGAAACTGGTCTTGGGATCACAAGCATTTTGGGTTTTTCCCTCTGGTGGCACAACAACCCCTGCTACTTTCTTCAAGTTGGAGCTTCTCCCGAAGACCCCAGTCTCCCCCAGCTCTGACAACATACGGTTCCCCACATGAAACGATATGTTCATGTAAGCAGTCCAAACTGAACTTGCTGTGCAGCAATTCTGACTAAGGAGCCAAATAAAACCAAACTTCAGAAGCCAGAAAGATGCAGCGTTGTTTTGCCAAGTGCCAGTGTGAAGGAGATTCATCTCTGTCTTCCACGAATGACTTCAAGAGCCAACCCAACCAAAGGGTGTGGCTGCCACATCTGTTGACAGATCAATTCAAAACGAGGAAGGAAAAAATATCTTCTGGGTGAAAACAAGATCCGCTGTCTTCCAACATGTTTCAGCAAGAGATTTCTAAAGATGTCTTAAGTTTCAGATGTTTTATTAGAGAGAAAAACCTGAGATAGTAAAGAAATCCCTGTCTCACTGCTGTAACTTTAGAAACTGCTTACTGTTGTTGCATGAGGTGATTGTGACATAAAAGACTAAGCAGCCAATTAGGTAAGAGCTCAGAGCACACTGTAAATGTACTGGCTTAGATGTTTCTAATGTGGCTATAGGTAGTTTGGGTGTACTTAAAAGGTGATTCAATCACTGAACCACAGAAAATGACTGTAGGTAGCACATTAAATTAAAAACAAACAAACAAACAAATATTTCTGCAACTGACTCTTTTTATAAACCTCAAAGCATATGTAAGAATACCATGCAACTGTCACATTTCCTAAGAAACAGACAGTTCTGACAAAATTAAGTTTGAAATATTCAAAGAATCATAAATTAGGACCATATCCAAAAGAGTCTGAAGAGCAGTGGCATCTCTAATACTAACTTTACATATTTGGTCACTGTCAATTTTTTACAAATAAATGATACAGGATTTTGGGACATTTATTGGTTTTGTTTTGATCTCTTAAGGCAGTGGTTCTCAATCTATGGGTTGTGAGCCTTTGGCAAACCTTTAGCTCCAAGAACATTTATACTACAGTTTCTAACAGTAGCAAAATTACAGTTATGAGGTAGCAATGAAAGTAATTGTATTGTTTGGGGACATCACAACGTGAGGAACTGTATTAAAGGGTCGCAGCACTGCTCAGAATCCAGGTTAATCTCCTTGTCTCATACTTACATAGACAGTCCAGCGGCACCTAAAGATATACAGATGACAGGAATAAATATGGAAAACTTAACACCTACAGAAGCTTACTTCAGCCGGGTGCTGGTGGTGCACGCCTTTAATCCCAGCACTCCGGAGGCAGAGGCAGGCGGATCTCTGTGAGTTCGAGGCCAGGCTGGACCGACAGCCTCCAAAACAATACAGAGAAACCCTGTCTCGAAAAACCAAAAAAAATAATAATAAAAAATAAAAACAGAAGCTTACTTCTTTGCAGACCTTCACAGCTGTTACCAATCTAGTCAAACTCTGATTGAAAAGAAAAAAGGGTGGGAGAGTAAAGATTAAGCATAGTTGTACAATCTAAGCTTGATTGTTTTTCAAATGTAACTAGATTAAAAGAAATAAAAACAGATCAAAAAGTTAATCAATGACAGCAACAATGGTTACAGGTCACAGAGAGATGATGCTAGCAAAATGTTTCACCAAACAATATCTCTCCTAGAAGATCCTATATACCCTGCCTGCTCTGCCTCCAATTTCATTACTTGTAGTCAATGGCTTTAAACAACTTTAAATCTAAAACATTACCAAACATGGGCAGTGAAAAATGTTGCTCTATATATTTTCAGGTAGGTATCAATATGTTTCTACTTTACTAGCTAGAAAGCCAAAGCTAAGGACTTTTAGCTTGAACATAAATGTTTTTGGCCTCTGCATATAGGGCTCAAAAACAAGCCAGTTTCACCTGAACTCACCAGGACTAGAAAACTGGCAGTTTTTATAGCTTATGAAGCAACAAGTTGAGACAGGAATAAACAGAGTTCTACATGCAGAACACAAATTAGCATGTATGGTGTTGGTCAGGGCGGCTCCACAGTGGTTCTCAACCTTCCTAATGCTTCTACTATTTAAATTTAGTGCAGTTCGCCAGGCGGTGGTGGTGCACGCCTTTAATCCCAGCACTCGGGAGGCAGAGGCAGGCGGATCTCTGTGAGTTCAAGGCCAGGCTGGACCGACAGCCTCCAATACAATACAGAGAAACCCTGTCTCGTAAAAACAACAACAAAAAAATGTAATGCCGTTCCTCATTTTCCTTTCACCACTTAATACAGCCCCTCATGTGGTGGTGAGCCTCAACCATAAAATGTTTTATTTGCTACTTCCTAACTCTAATTTTGCTATGTTTGTGGATTACACCGTAAATATTTTTGGTGCTAGAGCTTTGCCAAAAGGGTCACGACCCACAGGTTGAGAACTACTTCTCCAGAAGCTCCCAAAGCAATATAGGTTCTTGCCATTCCTCTTGGTTGCTTGCTGTAATTAGATGATAAGGCCTTTTGATGAAGACAGTCTACACACATGGTTCAGAAAAATCAAGCTAGAACTGAGCTAGATGCTCCCTCCCTGCAGCTAACTTTCTGAGTACTGGAAGCAGCTATGCAGGCTGCCTGGAGAGAAAGGACATCAATGATCTTACCCAGTTGTGAATCCTTTGATATGCAAAGCCTGCCAGGCAAGCTACACTCACTTATACAACTGCAGCACTACTGTTGGTGAGCTATGGGTATGATTGGATTTGACACCCACTACATTGGAGGTAATTTGTGTTTGTAAACCCAGTCAAACACACATGGCTAAGGAGATCACAGGTCCTGGGGAAGGAATGGAATGTGGCAGGTTGACAGTGTTAAACTGTCATCTAAGTATTGTCTGTATCTATAAACATCTACTACCCCCAGTCTTCAGCAGATAAGCCCCTCTTTGTAGTGAACTGTGGTGAGATAGAGACTCCTGGCTATGTAGAGTGCTGGAACTAAGTGTTCATCCTCGACCAAGACATTGTACCCACCCAGAAGAGCGGGGAAGAAAGAATATAGAAGCTGGAATACTGAGAGAAGGAATTCAAAATACTATCTCCTGGACAAGACATGTCATTGAAATTATGAACTCACAAAAGCTGTGGATGTCACTACTGATTCTACACAAGAATGGTCACATCAACACTCACCCATAGCTGGAGGAGAAGCTCAGAAGAGTCTACTCCCCACAGCAGAACTATTTCTTACTGATGGACTAAAGGGTAGGGGGAACCATTGCCTTTAGCTGTAAACCCACTGAAGACTGCACCAGATTCCAGTGGGTGATTCTTATCCAATAGTCACCCAGATAGGTCTGGTTATAGGTCATAACTCAGAAGGGACTAGTAGTGATGAGGGTTGGAGACTGATAGGGTAAGAAGGAGATAGGGGTGTCTGAGATAGAATAACCAGAATACACTGTATAAAAGTGCAAAATTGTCAGCTGACAAAGTCAATCAATTAAAATGTTCAAATGAATGGTATAAATCAGAAAGAGTATTAGTGTGGAACTTTTAGTCCACAATGGTTGATTTTTCTCCTGTAGAAGCAATCACTGGCTCATTTCCAAACAGCTCCTTGGGAAAAGTGCAATAAACAGTGTGTAGACTTGAAAAGACCCAAACACATACCATCTACATTGAACACTAAAAGGTGAGAGACTTTCACCAAAACCACAAACCCTTGTTTTTTGGCTTTTTAGTATTACATAGGTGTTTATCCACTCACCAGAAATGAGGGTGAAAAAATGAGTCAACAATACTGGAATGGAAACTGAACCAAATGTTTAGCTCTGCTCTGTTGTCGAAGGCCCTACAGATGCTCACTACCATTTGAAAAGGGAAGACAATGACAGACCCTAAGAGATACTTCTAGAACAAACTCTTATCAACATGGCTATTTCACTATGCTAGGATTTAAAGTTCTCTGGCCAACAGGTGAACTTTTATAATACTGCTCTAAATGATGCCTAAAATACTTCAAAACTTTTATGTATACAAAAAATCCTATCATAAAGTAATTAAGTATAAAGCACCATCCAACCCATAGCTTTGGAAGCCAGATTTCCTGGGTATTAATAAAATTAATTAACCATGGCACTTCAAACCCAAATCTAATTCTATAGTGAAGTTAGGATGTAAACTGTTAGGAACAAAACTTAGGTGAAGTATTAAGACAGACCTCCCAAATAAATGTTAAAAATATGTTACAATATGTTAAAATATGTTACAATAGCCCAGCAATTCCCCCACTACATCAGTGGCATAAGCCCAGCAATCTGAAGACCAGAATGAGCTTCATTTTACGACATACCTACCTCCTTATTTGGAGAAGCACAGCAATGTCTAATGATTAAACTGATAAAAAAGACAAGATTTCATGGGCACGATATGGAGTTTTATTTTCAAAGCACACAAATTCCATCTTCTGCGGCTGGATAGAGGAACCAAGGGTCAAGTTTTCTCTGTGTGTACAATGCAGTGAGAGTTTTCATCTAATTTTCATCTGTGGAAAGAGCTCTGGACTTTTTAAGGTTTCAGAATGTCACACTTGCACATGGGGCATGTCCTATGGGCTAAAAGCCAGGGGTCAATGCACGTCTTGTGGAAAAAATGTTTGCAAGTTAAAATACGTATTACATCTTGGGCTTTGTATATATCAAAACAAACAACACAGTTGTCTTCATTGGGATCTAGCTCCTTATCCCCTTCCTTGAGCACTCGAAGAGGCAGCCGACCAATAGCTTTCTTCACATCAGCCTTTATCTGTCTTTGCCTCCTGGTGGAAGAAGTAGGCACTCGGGGTCTCCAGGCACAGTACAGGAAGAGGTAAGCAACCGTAGCTGCCAGGAAGGTAAACAGAGACGTGACATAGTGGCTCAGCCATGGCATATGCATTCTCCCCACTTCAATGATGATTGTCACATAGACACCTTTCTGGACCAAGTGCAAAAGCTCCATGCCTTTGAGGTTGCCGATCATCACTGCAACGATATTCTCTGTTCCCTGGTGAGACATGGGAAACACCTTGTTGCCTGTACCCGGATAGTTATAGATGATCACCCCATTTGCTCCCTTCTCTGCTGCCACATTGATTTTATGCGTAAAAGTACAGCCTCCTCGTTCAATGAGGGCCAGCCACGAGTCAGCCTGATCAGGCCTGCTGAAGTTGGTCAAGGGATTACAAGCATTCTGATTCCATCCTTCAGGAAGTACCACGGCACCAGACACCCTCTCCAGAGGAGAGTGGTTCCCAAACACTCCACTCTCTCCTAGCTCTGATATGATCTGGCTTCCCACCTGGAATGTTATATTCAGATGAGCTGTCCATATTGCTTTTCCTTTGGAGTCAGGGAGACTAAGTAGTAGAAAGACGCTAAGTCTCAGTAGCCGAGATGAAACAGATCTATGAACTGAAGGGGTAAGTCCAAGTGGGCTCATTCCTCCCTTAACTGAGAGACATGAAAAACCAAGTAGCATCTGCTGTAAACAGAGGTTAAAAAAAAAAGCTGGCTTGAGCTGTCAAGAGCAGATTACTAAAGCACAGAAATGAAGAAGGTCAGCCTGGGTGGAAGACACCTTGCTCCTTCCAGCATTTTTACTCTTGGTACTTTATCATTCTTGTAATGAAAATTCAAGAGATGTTATTAGTTCAGTGTGATTTCAAGAAACTTGTGACTTCCTAATGGGTAAATTGTGACATCAGAGGTTGTTAAGCCAATCCAGGAGTTCATATTAATGCAATGCATACTGAAATCCCATTGGTCAAAAGAACTACAAAGCAATAAGTCAGGAGGTATGCATTCTGGGGCTGGAGAGATGGCTCAGAGGTTAAGAGCACTGACTGCTCTTCCACGGGTCCTGAGTTCAATTCCCAGCAACCACATGGTGGCTCACAACCATCTATAAGTCAATCTGGTGCCCTCTTCTGGCATGTAGGCAGAACACTGTATATGTAATAAATAAATCTTAAAAAAAAGAGGTATGCATTCCTACACGTGTCTATGTATTAATATATAGATAAGATTACATGTCAGGATTTTATATCATATATATATACGCATATGTACATATATACCACTTTGAATGCACTCAAATGACTAAATGGTAAGCATTAAAGAGAATACTACTTGAGTTTTGTTTTTATATGCGGATACACTGGATGATACCTTAAACCTTTCACAAACTATTCATTCACATTGGTGAATGCTTCTGGTCAGGTGTCAGTTCTCATTATGCTTTTCTACACTACCCAGTTGGACAATCTGGACAGTAGGAACAAATCACTCCACACTCTGCTGGCATTGAATGTTAACACCAAGCCCAAAGATTGAAGTGAACAAGAAAAAATGTATGTTGTTTTTCTGACATACACCCATCCCACAAAGAAAACACATTTTTGTTCATTGAGTCTGTTACTACTAAAAATCTACTATGTCCTAAGCAAATACTAAAAATGAAAACAGATATTTAAAAAATGATCCTACTATTATCCAATGAGAGTAGATTTGAAACAAATAAATACAGACATGAATAACTACCAGAACTTTGAACAGAACATAACAAGTACAGAGAAAAAGATAATGTGGAATGGGGACCATTCTTAGAGGCTCAAGATAAACTTGTCTAAGAAAATGATAGTCTGATACGTGGAAAAGAAATCCAAATTCCCAAGACCGGAGGTGGAGGACTGGGCAGATTTGTGCTCTATGATGGAAAGACATGTGGCAAGTTAAAGGATCTGAAGGAAAACAGACTCATCAGGAGGAAAGGCAAAGGGTAATTGGCGTGTTTGATGGCACACAAGCTATCCTGAGGACTCTGAGGTTATGTCCCAGGACATGAGAGACATAATGCCAATTTTGTGCCTTGAGGATGACTTAACCACCTCTCAAAAACCTTGCTTTTACTTTGAATTCTTGCCTGAAATCTTTGCACAGAGATGATAATAAGGTGACAATACTCATCCAAACATTTATTGTCTAGGCATCGGACAGGCTCTGTGACTGGTAGGCTAGTTTTGAGGACACAGGAAGAAAAGGCCTTGTTTGTTTATGAGGCTCCTGCACAAACTGGGCTCTACCACTGAAATCAGAGGTGTGGCAAGAAAGCATATGCTTTTGACAAAAGCATCCTTTGTACTTACTGGGCAACTACAGCAGTTAATATGTTTTCAAGATAGACATTGATCAAATTCTCAAGTCTTATAATTTTATTTATGTGTGATTCAGTTTGCATCTGAACGGTATTGACAGGTAGAATTTTCCATGTTCAGAGTGTGAACTACTGCCTGCTTCTATTAAAAGTGGGAAAGTGAGACTAGTTAAGAAGTTTGATATTACTTAGCAGGAAATTGATGAACTGGTGATTGCTTTTGGAAGGTGATTTAATTCAGGATTATTTGTTTATTTATTTTTGTCTGTGTACCATGTGTGTGCAGTGTCTATGGAGGGCAGAAGAAGGCATCAGCCTACAGTTACAGACCACTATGTGGATGCTGGGAATTGAACATGGATCCTCTGGAAGACCAGCAGCCCGTCCTCTGACCCACTGAGCTGTCTCTCCAGACCTGCAAGGTGATTTAAAATAATCTAATTCTGACATGGCTTTTATATTTCAATGGGTTTGTTTGTAGTTTTTAGACAGGTTATTTGGATGGACTCAAACTCAATATGTAGCAAAGGACAACCTTGAACTCCTAATCCACTTTCAAGTTCTGGGAAATAGTCTTGTTCCACCACATCCCAAATCCTTTGCTGAGTTGGGAAGGGCAAAATGTTTAGATAGCAAAACATGTATGGCTCAAACCACACTTCAAGTCAAGCGTTTCCTTGTTTGGTTGAAAGGAACAATTTATAAAAATTTATAAATTCATTGGATTTTTCTTGTTACACCGTTAAGAGGCTAAGGTCATAGTGGTTTAAATATCCCTTCTCTTTTGTTATGGTATTAGTAAAAAATGCTCCCTATATCTAAAAGTGGCTCTCTGAAGCAGATGTAATTTTGCTTTCTGAGGGGTACTTTCTATTTTCAGAGATTTTTTATATTATTATTTTCATAACTGGGGAATGACCCTGGCATACTGTGGCTAAAAGCCAAAGATACAAGTAAACATCATAAAATGCTGAGAGTGGCCTCTCAGACTTAGATACACCTAGCTCAAAAAGTCACATGTAAGGTTCGGAAGGCCTGTGACAATGGTAAAATCTTAGGAGAGAGGTACTACCTCCAAAGTTCCTCATCCCTGAGAGCCAACAAATGCTGAGCTCTGGCTGCATGAGTAAGCTTTTGTAACTACCAGTATTTCTGTCAAGTAAGATGCTCTCAGGACATACCTCCATTTCCCCAGTTTTTCCTAGCACAGAAACAGAACAGTTCTCTTTAAGCATCCTTATTAGGGCATAATGAATGGTTGTCAATTGCATCCATTTACTCAGAACTAGAGCAAACAGTCTTCTACTATGTTGGGCTAGCATAGTTAAATAGGGCAGAAAGAGGGAATGGATAATTGATGCCATTATAATCTGTTCCTTCTAAAACATTTATTCAATATATGAACTTTCAGTACCTGAAGATTTCAAGCTCTTTATTCTATTGACACTTTCAGGTAGATGAAGGGAAATTGGACGTACAACTAGGGTTGGAAGATCCAATAGTCCAAAATTTCCTGGTTTTTTTCATCTTTCCTTTCTACCTTGTAAATTATGCTGACTTTCCACTTAAGTTGGTTCTCTTGATTAACTCCCAGGATGGTTACTGTTCTAATTATCTATAGGCACACAGCACCCTGAGGCACAATGCAACATTTCTACTCCCACATTTCCCTTTAAGAAAGACAGAAAAGATTTCCCCCAGATATTTATCAACCTTCTTTTAGTGTCTCTGGCTAGAACTACTTTCAAATTGGTATTTAATGAATACATGAAATGAGTCTGGTAATTATGATTGACATAGGCAAATCCTAGTTTATCTCGTGGAGAAGCCGATCCCTAGCTGAGCCCATAAATGTTCCGAGAGAAGGTAAAGCTATTTGCTTTCTGCAATCAATGAGCAAAACTAGGAAGCAGAAAGCAAGTACTCGGAGAAGCTGCAGCTCCAGGACCTAAATCCCGAGATATGCTCAAAGAGATGCTTAAATAACAACTAACCAGAATAAACAGCATGTGCATTCCACACAAGATACTAGCCCAAGACAGAGCTTTGTTGAGGTGACAGTCTCAGCATAGCCCTGTTTCTTAAGAGGGCTTAACTGTAAGAGAATAACAGAGAAACTGAAGGTATATGTATTCTATAACAGCTAGACTCTAGATAAATTTGGAGGAACATTATAACCCATCATTGAGTAACGGGGATGGTGATCAATTTATCTCCACTCTTATTGATTTTTGGCCATTACTCATGCCTCCAGAAATCCCAAATCTGATGAATAAAAGCAACCAAGTACAGTCTGCACCTAACAGCATCTCTAAAACAGGGAAAACAGAAGAGACTTCATCAAAGTAATCCACAAGTCATAGTAGATAGGACATGGATCCCAAAAATTCCCTAGGTTTCATAAAGCACGCTTATTTTGCATGTAAGTTAAAGAAATGACAATTTTCTGCTTTTTTCTGAAGAAAAACTTAAAGGGATTTGAGGGTAACAAAATGCTGACTCAAAGTGGCTTGCTAAAAGTAAAAAAATAATTTTCTTTTTACAATAAAATTTTACTTTATATTATGTTTGGTTGCAAGTTTGCAATTCTCATACATATCAATGTAGACTTTTTTTCTGGAACTTAAGTTAATCAATATACCCAAATGTTCAATAAAATATACATGTGATAGTTCGAAAAAAAACATATTGTAAACACCTCAAACTGCCCTCAATCTGAGTGTGATCTATATATGCTACACATAGAATACAGTAGATTATTTTTTAAAAAGTATATGTGAACTTATGGATTATTTCCGTGTTCAAACATGGGGGCAGGAAAGGCAACGATGTTTTTCAAGACAGGGTTTCTCTGTATAGCTTTGGAACCTATCCTGGAACTGGCTCTGTAGATCAGGCTAGTCGAACTCTGTTGGGGAAGACCTGTTATTTGCCTGTTATTTGTCAATAAAGTACTGTTGAGCCTGTAGGAATCTAGATGGGTGGGGCTAGGAGTCCAGGAGGATTCTGGGAAGGAGAAACACAAGAGTTCGAGATGTAACGCCATTGGGGTAAGACGCCTGGAACTATTCTCCGGTAAGAGAAATACTTAGATTAACAATTATGGGGTAATTACTTAAGTCAGAGCTAGCCAGTAAGAGACAAGCAAGGCCAACAGCTTCATAATTAATATAGCCTCCTGTGTGTTTATTTGGGACTGATGCGGCTCTAGAACCAGACTGGCGGAAAGGCTCCTCACAAGGAAAAGCTTCTCTTAACAGAACTCACAGAGATCTGCCTGTTTCTGCTTCCCTAGTGCTGGGATTAAAGGTGTGTGCCACCAACGCCTAGCTGTCTACATAACTTTAACATTAAATTGGGAACACTTCCTTCTTATTTAACCCAGCTTGTGGAAGACATTGTGGCAGTTAACCAGAGAAACTTTATGACACCTAGCAGGTAACTGGGAAAATTTAACAATGGCAGTTGTTTTAATTGAAGAGATAGGAGTTATTTAGTAACTTAAAATAAAC